CTCTCCACAGTCCGTTTTTGAAAACTGAAAAGGTTCGTTTAAAACTTAAGTTTTTTTGCTGCATTGTTGGCAGTTGAATTAAGGAGCTGCATCAGCATGCGTTGCAAGGGAACAAGTAAAGGTTTATTCCTTCTTGTTAAACACAGACACGTAGAAGGCTCCGCAGCTGAAACTTTGCGTTTCTTTTCAGCCTGGAATAAATCTTTACTTGTTTCTTAGTTGGCAGTTGTTCCATTGATTGAGTTCAGTTGTAAAGACATACTGCAGGTTTGGATGCTATAGTGAGCATGGTTTAGCAATATTAGTGTGCTTCAAATATTGATTGAACCTGTAACTTGTTTCTGTCAATTTATTCTATTACATTTTGTTTTTCATTTTAACAGTTCTTTTTTTTCTATTTTAAACAAACAATTTTTAATTATTATATCATTTCCATCTGTATATAGCACTGATGGGTGGACTGAACGTACAGTTTCACTTCCCTATAGCGGCATTTGAATATAGGGAAATAGGACAAATGTGTATATGTATGTTTTAAAACACTGTTTTATAAATACAAATCTACAGCACACCAAATGTTGTTATCTTTCTTGAAGAAAGTAAGACTTATTACCACTATTACGTTTTCTGTTTACATTTATGTAGTATTGCACAATATTAAAATACTCAGTTTGTGATCATCTTAAACTGTAATTTGTGAATAAACTGCTTTATTTTTAATTTGACCTTTTCACTGCCACACATCTTTAAAATAACATTTTTAAGGACCTATCGGTAAAAGAGACCAATGAAACAGACGTCATGCCTTCTTCTAAACACCCAAAGCTGCTTTTTACCTGTGGGCTACCAACAGGAGGTGCCCCAGTCAAGAGCACTGTTGTCCACAAACACTCAAGCAGGATCTGGGTCTTCTCGGACTGTCTGCAAACGACTTATATTCACAAGAATACAGGACTGGGACAGGATCAGCAATCCACACATACTGTAACAGGGGCACAGATCTATAATCTAAAGGGCAAATAAACTGAAAATAATATGCAACGAATTGCAACTGTTTGCAAAAAAGCTCAGCAACTCTTTGAATGGTATTGTAGCTGAAGCTGTCTGACTTCCGTCAAAAATGAGCAGCAGAGCTGCAGTCAATATTTTCCTGAGAAATACTTTTACACTTTTCCTGTCATGGAAAGCATATTGCTGCACTGTCCAAGACAAACTTACAGACCCCCAGACTTGTCTCACTGAGCACGTTTTATTGCACCAGATTAAGTCTGGTGGCTGCTGGCTGTGTTGCATTTCTTCTCTATTGAATTCTGTTGAAAGCCTGAGAAGCTTCACCTAGTTTATGCCTTAGTTTTTCAAACTTTTATTTTTACCATTTAGTCTTCGCACTGTTTTATTCTATGCTGTTATTTAACTATGCTAAAGATACACTGGAAAAACTTGTAACAACTCTCCTTAAAAACACTGATACGCATTTCTGTGCACTTGCTTGTTCAAGCTGGAATTTCTGCAAACTTTATGTAAAGGTAGTTTATTTTGTGTCTAAAGAGGAAAAAAAGCCTGAAATACAGATTATATTATATAGATTTTATCTTCTGTGCAGAGACTACAAAACCTCTCTCATATCTTACGATTTCCCAATCACTTGACAGCGTTTAGTAATTCAGAATCAGTCCCATGCTGACACCAAGTGGCAGTCTTCTAGAACTGCACTTACTGCAGGCACTGCAGTCAAAAAAGGCCTTGAACTGGGGTATATACTGTAGCATGTATCTGCCAGGACAGTTCATATCGTAGTTTGACATTAAATGGAACCTAAACCCATTGAACTCAAAAATAAAAAGCAAAACTGAAGGTTTCACAGATTTCCCTTTAGAAGTTATATTCCGAGAACAGTTCTTCTGTTCTGAGCGTTCTGGCGCACTATGGCTGCCGTCGCATCATCCAGGTGGATGCTGAACATTGGTGGTGGTGGAGGGGAGTCTCCATTACCTGTAAAGCGCT